TGTGAATGCTTTCACCCTTTCTCCAAATTCCTATTGGTCACGGGAGGAGGCATGGCTGAATAAGACATCCTGTTTATTACTTGTGACAGGGAGACATCTCTAGTGGTTGATCTGTTTTCCAACTTTTTGTCTGCATGTTATGTTTCACTGTGGCCACCAGAATGTTTCTTAGATGTGTCAGAAATGCAATGCTATATCAAAATTCCATGTTTATTTTGGATGTTTGCTTGTTTATAGAGCTGTGTACAAAGGACCTTTTGAAATTCTCCATCCCAGCTGTGGGCAGAGAAAATGAGGTAACCAGTTCTCCAAATTTCTCCAAGAATTTCTTGGATGCAGGGCTCATCATTGGCAGAGTCAGTAGCACAGCTTCTTTCTCCTGAACCCTAGGGCAGCAGCAGCAACAATTGTGTCAGGAGCCTAGCTGCCATTTTGCATCCTATACAATGCAACAGACCTAAGAGCATTCACAGGGCATTCTGGAACAAAGATGGCAGCTGCCAAAAAATGAATATTAGGAAATAGGCAAGGAAAATTTTGCAAGTGTCCTTCAGTTTCCGGGGAGGGGAGCATGAAAAAAAAAGTCAAACACTTTCTCAGAAAGGAATGTGAGGCAAGTATTCAACTGAACAGTTATGCTATAGCTGTACAATGTAATGTCCCCATCCTCTCCTCTCTCTGTGCTCCCCGCATGACCTCTTAAACTGCTCCAGGGGTTCCACCACCCCTCCAGAACAGATTTAGGGAGTGCATGGGAGCACACAGGTAAGAGGAGATGACAGGGAAGTTACATTACACAGCTAAAAGCTGTTGTGCTGGTTGAATGCTGCCTTGTGTAAATTTGGCTCAGCTCTGTTTTTGTGTGAGTGCATATTTTTTTCACCAGCCTGTTAAACAGAAGAGATGGTTGTGACAGTAGCAACAGTAGAAGCCTCGGCAGTAGCCAGAGAAAACCACACACTCCCTTCTTTCCATCTTTCTCTTCCTGTTCAGAGGTGAATGTGGTTTGCCCGCTTGGAACCTTCCCTGCCATTAGCACTTCTTGTTCTTCAGTGGATGTGAACAACTATATAAGGTTGGTGCTATTATGGAAGAAGCAGGGAGATTTAAATTCCTTCTCACTTTTGCTTTAAATTTCTGTGAAGTTTCTGTACTTGAGGAGATCCAAGGAGAATGTCAATCATAGCCTGATTAGCATGAGCTCCTTAAACTGAAGCTTCATCTTTGACAACTGTGAAATAAACTTATTCTTCCAAGAGTAACCAGAGGACAAGTACCTAGAGGTGTCATCCATCACCTTCAGAGCTACTTGACTTCCTTGCTCTCTGACTTCCAAGTCACTGTTTATATGCCTTGACCCTGGCTTGATTTCTTTAATAGTTTGCCCTTTGCACTGGACAAGTTCATTCCAACAAGAAATATGAATATTTATCTTCCAATACAAAGGGTTAAAAAATATGTGTGTGGAATACTTGTTTTGAAAACAACACCTCCCAAAATAGCTCCTGTTTAATTACTTGCATGGATTTAATCACTCAGTGAAGCATCAATATTTCTTAAAAGAAATGTGGATATTTTTAGTTCAAAACTCAAGAATAACTTACTGACAAAATTAAGCCCCTCAAACTCCAGTGGGAAAGGGACTGAACTAGGTATTGATTAAAACCCACTGAAAATAATGGAATGTAAAAGTGCTACATCTGTTTGGATCTTGTCTTCAGTTACCCTGGTTATAGCAGAAATGAGGGCAGGGACGTGTGATTCCCCCTTCCAAGGCTGTTCATGGATAATATTGTTGATTTTATCTATATTTTGATAATTTTATTATTTTCAATGTCTATTCATTTTATGAGTGTTTTCTATGAATATTTTCTATTATTTCATGTAAACTACTTCGTGATTTGTTTTTTCTGATTAAGATAACTCTTCTTACATAGAATAAACAATTTGATGTGAGGACTTGAAAAACAACACTATGAATGATTATCCCTTAAAAAACTCCATATCCTTATTAATTTTTAAGGCATTTTAAGTGGGCTTTTTGTTTATTCTTGCTACCTTCAGAAGTCCCTTTTCTTTCCAATATATTTCTGAAATGGAAGATGAGACTGACTCAAGTTTTTCCGGACATGTACCTCTGCCTACATGTGATCCTCACCATAGTTTGTTATTCTTATGAGATATAACTTAATTCAGCAAAACTGCAGGCAACCTCTGACAACCTGTCTATTATGGTCACAACTTCCTATCTGACCAGCCCTTAAAAATTATGAACAGGTGGCAATCCTATACAGATCCTGAGCTCGTTGAGTGAACCTCTCTCTTCAATTTCGTAAAACAAGACACATCTCCCTTGATTCACTGGTCCCTAAGGAGCCTGAGCTTGACAGGCATTCTTGACACAGTCTTTGTGTTATTATGAACCCAGAAGGAAGAGGATGCCTGCAACTTCGGGCGTGAGCTTCAGAATTATAGAGAAATATTATCATAGGGTGAAAAGGCCAGATTTTCTTTTCTTTTTTAAATACATAGGTCAAAGCACAAAGAGACAAAGGACATAGAGTAAACAAGAAGCAGCGGGATGGGAGCATAGTCATTTATGAGAAGGCAAAAATGTGCCCAAGGGATGGAAGAAAGAAAATTATAGGGAAGAAAAGAGTCTTTGGCTACAGAGGGCAGAGCTGCCCTCCAGACATTGGTGATGCTGTACCTGGAGCTCTTCCCAGGGAACTCTGAGATTTGTAGCTCTGTGACAGGAATAGGGGTCTCCTCACAACTCTCAGCACCCTTAACAAACTTCAGTTTCCATGATTCCTGGGGAGAGCCAGTGTCTGCTTAAAGTGGTATGATACTGCTTTAAATATATTGTTATGAGTTTGGTGGGTAGGGGAAGGTAGGCTGTGTGCCTGGGCCCCCTTCTAATTCCTGGAATAGCCAGGTTAGCTTCCTGGTGACGTAATAGCCTAGGTAATGGGCCGTGCTCTGGTCCATGGGGTCACGAAGAGTTGGACACGACTAAATGACTAAACATCAACAAATGGGCCATTAAAGGAACAAAGGAAGTGCTCATCACCAGAGAGCAAATGGATGGGCCACACTCCATCAACAGGATGGTAGTTCATAGAATCATAGAACTGTAGAGCATGAAGGGTCCCCCAGAGACAGGACATCTCTGGACAGATGACCATCCAATCTCTGCTTAAACACCCCAATGAAGAAGACTCCAGAACCTACGGAGAAAGTCCATTCCTCTTTCAAACAGCTCTTACTAACAGAATGTTTAGTTAGAATCCTCTTTAGTTAGAAAGACGAAAGCCAGAGTTGAGTGATGTGAGCTAGAAGCAGGAATTAGCAGGCTGGGAAACCAGAGAGACAGGGCAATGCTTGATTTCTGTTTGAATCCAGGGCTGAAGCTATGGGAGAAAGAAGACCCCATTGGAGTGTGAATGCTGCGAACCCCTCCATCATAGGCTCAAGTTGTATTTATGTGTAAATAAACCATATATCCTAAATACACCACAGTCTCTGCTGTGCCTCATTTCAAAAGAAACACAAACCCTAGGTAAGCGCCTGGAACCTTGCACCGCTCAGAGATTGGGGTGTCGTGCAACAGTATAGTGCAGCTTGGGCCTCACTAAATAACACCAATAGCAGCAGTAACGCAGTAACCAGGTTTTTCTCCAAATACCCATCCCCTGTGGGGGTGTCTTAATTAACTGCCTAAAACTATAAAGATATGGGACCAGCTAGGAGGGAGTTCCACAATGGAAGAGCCACACAGTCCAACATTCAAGCCACTAAACCACACTGGGTCTCATAAACAGCTTCTGTAATAGTGCTTGCCAGTTATATTCCCTGCTTTCCCCTTAGCATTTCCTATTTTCAGTAATAAGAGTAGAGAAAATTATAAGCTAACCAAATGCTGAATTCACTATGGCCAGCATGCCAGGCCATGATGTGATGATTCACCAGTCTTTTTTCGGGGGGGGGGTGCTGGTTCTCCCCACCTAGTCTAATTGACTTCAAAGCCAGCTGAAGAAAGCACTGAGGATCTCAGGATAAGTGGGATTAGGTTGCTAGCGACTGTGATTACTTTTGGGGCTGCAAATTGGTTTCTTTCTGAACGTTTCACTCACAGCCATTTACCTAATACATCTCAAAAATCAGCACTTGAAGGCTCAATTTATTTTGCTTCCTTCCAAACTAGTGGGTCAATAAGAAAACGAGGATCTGGCTGGAAAACACGAACAAGCACTTGCATGCTGGAACAGTCCTGTAAGCATCAAGAGAGGGTACTTGATCTTTGTACATGAACTGTCAGCGATGCGAACCAAAATGTGTTCCAGGTGTGCACAGCTGTTTGCGGGGGGGGGACAGGATGGAGTGCAGGAGAAATGCACATGGACAATTATTTTTAAAAGAGTTAATCCACATATAGTTTCTTTGGTAGGGCTGAAGAATGACCTGCAGGCTATTTCTATATCTGAAATGCATTTGTTTATTTATTTACCAACTTAGGGCTGTGTCCTATTCAGAGAAGATACCCTGAAATAAATGAAGCTGAGTTTGTTGTTGTTGTTGTTGTCTGATTCTTCGTGACCCCATGGACCAGAGCACGCCAGGCACTCTTGTCTTCCACTGCCTCCCACGGTTTGGTCAAACTCACGTTAGTAGCTTCAAGAACACTGTCCAACCATCTCATCCTCTGTCATCCCCTTCTCCTTGTTAGCCATGAGTAAGCCATGTCCAATACCTTCAATGGGTGGGAATTGCCCTATGCCACATCAGATTATCGGTCCATCTAGCACAGTATCATCTACAGCAGGGATAGCCAGCATGGTGGCCTCAAAATGTTCTTGGATTACAGTTGGCCAAGCCTTCAAAACCAATTACCAGGAATTATGGGAGTTGCAGTCCAAGAACATTTGAAGAGTATCATGTTGCAATGAATGGCAGCAGCTCTCTAAGGTTTCAGGCAGGAGTCCCTCCCAGACCTTGCCTGGACATGTCAGGAATTGGACCTGTGACATTCTGCATGCAAAGCAGCTGTTCTACCACTGATCCACAGCCATTTAAAAGGGTTTTGTTTCCTTGTGGGCTTCGGAACTAGGAAATGTCAATTGCTGTGAACACAGCAGGGCTGTGGACGCATAATACATCTGACCCTTGGCAAGACCATTGGGAAACAGTAAGTTTTTGTATGGGTGGGAATCCCAGCAAGCCATCCTGGTGCTCTTGATTTCAAGTTAGGCTTATGTTTGGACCTGTTCCCAAAATTACCCACTTTCTCAATTCAGACTCAGAGTGATAATCAATTCATTTCTTTGAAGCCAGTCTGCATGACTCTGAGTACAGTGGTACCTCGGGTTAAGAACTTAATCCATTCTGGAGGTCTGTTCTTAACCTGAAACTGTTCTTAATCTGAAGCACCACTTTAGCTAATGGGGCCTCCTGCTGCCGCTGCGCTGCCACTGCACGATTTCTGTTCTCATCCTGAAGCAAAGTTCTTAACCCAAGGTAATATTTCTGGGTTAGTGGAGTCTGTTACCTGAAGCGTATATAACCTGAAGCGTATGTAACCCAAGGTACCACTGTACAGAATTAATGATAAGCTGAGCCTGATGTGCCGAGGATCTGAAATAGATTTTTTTAAATTTAGAAAAGGAACAAGAAGATTGTCTTTTTCTGTCGCACTCCCCACCCCCTTAAAAGCCAGAAAGCCCACACGTACAAAAGGCAGCTGTAATGAAAACCTGGCACTTTCATTTGTAGGTTCTCCGGTAGGTCCATCACTCATCCCAAAGAGTGTCGCAAATGTCACCTCCTTCAGCCTTGAGGAGGTAATTGGTGCAGCTGCTTCTGAAGTCTGCCTTTCTGCTGGCAATGTTAACATGGCATGCTGGGGGAATATAACAAGCAAAAGAAGATGCAGGTGTTTCAAAGAGAGGTACTATGCAGCAGGAGACTGGGTCTGATTAGTGAGGACAAAAGACATTTCTCCGTAAATACAAAGACACATTTCTTTGTGTGCATGTCACTGTCAGCACACAGTGGAAGAGTGTTACATTGCTTCACACGTTTACAAGGTTACCAGCAGATAGATGATAATGGTCTCAGGTCTGGGGTGGCCACCGTCATGTTCTGTGGCACATTTTTCAAAAACGGTTTAAGGTCCTCATTGCAAGTTACGGTTGAGAACAAGACTGATGCCTCAGTGCAAATTTACCATGCTCCACAATGGCACATAAGATGCCTGTACATGTGACAAGTCTGTGCTGTCTCTTTGCTAGATGCAGCAGGGTGAAAAATCTTCATTGCGTACCTGTGCAAAATTTAAGTGTGTTTAGTCCCATCCTTGGACAGTTAGGCCAGAGATGGGGAAACTGTGGCCCTCCAGATGTTGTGGGACTCCAAATCCCACCCATCGCAGCCTGCATGGACAATGGCCAGGGCTTTGTTTATTTTTGGATTTGATATCCCACTTTATCACTACCCGAAGGAGTCTCAAAGCGGCTAACATTCTCCTTTCCCTTCCTCCCCCACAACAAACACTCTGTGTGGTGAGTGAGGCTGAGAGATTTCAAAGAAGTGTGACAGGCCCAAGGTCACCCAGCAGCTGCATGTGGAGGAGCGGGGAATCGAACCCGGTTCACCAGATTACAAGTCCACCGCTCTTAACCACTACACCACACATTTATTTTATTTAACATTTATATACCACTTGATTGTAATAAAACCTCTAAGTGGCTTACAAAAACCTTAAAATTATTAATAAACAACGGGTAAAAGTAGGTATTTAAAAACATTTAAAAAACAATTAAAATTGACACTGAGCTAAAAGATGACAACACATGTCAGCATTTTACATTTTTGAAGAGGCTTGTCTAAACAAATACGTTTTATGCGGACACTGAAAAGTATACAATGAAGGTGTCTGCTTGATGTCAACAGGCAGGGAGTTCCAAAGTGTAAGTGCTGCTACATTAAAAGCCCATCTGAAAGTAGCCTGAAAGTCTTACCCTTTGGGAAATTCTCTCATGCAGGCTATCATATTCTCTTTGGCACAAATAATGCCCCTTGTGGTCACAGGGTGGCCACCTGCTCTATTTTTCGAAGGGTTTTAATATTTTAAAGGGTCATCAAAGGATAGTCCTCTGTTTTTTATTTATATTTTATTGAGACTATTACAATGAGTTAAAGTCGGTAAGAAAAAAGAAAGAAAGAAATACATTTTTAAAAAAACATTTTTAAAAGCTGAGGAAAGCAACAGTTACCAAAAGACAGTAAAATATAACTAGGGTTACATAGCTATGTAGTATATGAGTAAGTAGATAAACTTATTGTTTCCCTCAAGTGTACGTTGGTTCATGGGTCCCTCTGGTTTTGATCAATACATTCTAAGTTTGTCCATGCATAATTTTTGTCTGAAAGTGATCGATTCATGGGTTGCATGAGTTGCCATGCAGTCTATCCACAGACAGTCCTCTCTGTCTGAAGGGGCTGCCGAGTTGAGAGCTGTCCACTCTAAATCTTTGTTAAAGACAGAGAACAGCAGAACAAAAGAGCTGGAGCCTTGAGGTTCCCCACCAATAATGAGCAGTGCCTGGTCAGCAGACCTAGCAGGCATGCCAATCACCCTGGGTCTTCCCCACTATGGTCTTGTGTACACAGTATTTTTATTTGAATTAGATCAGTTATTGCTTGATGCATAAACCTTTGCAAATTTCGTGCAAACTTCTCCTCTTTTTTGGTGATGCAAATGCTCTTTCTTTTGGGCAATGTGTAACTGGCCACCTTAGGTGTTCATGCAGAGTTGAAACAACCGTGAACCGTCATTCTCTGGCCCCATGATACACCAGCCTTAAATGAAGGCCATGTTCAGTCAGGGTTGGAAATTTAGTTATGCCAAGGGGAACCCATCCATAATTTATGTGGGGGGAGTATGTTTTGTTTGGGAAGAAAGGAAGAAACAGTTGCAACAACAGTGCCCATCACCAATTCCTATGCAGCTATCAAAAACCTACTGTGAGGTCTGTCCATTAGCTGCTACGCAAACAGACCCATGTGGCTTTGCCATGGGGCTTGCTAAGAGGGAAGATAGCTTGCTTGCTTCTCAGTCATGGGATCAGAGCCTGGTACTTAAATCAATTGTATCTCTGGTTTGCTTGTTAAAGCTTTGCCCTAGGGTGGTGGTGAGAAAAAAAAGAGGCAATATTTCTTATATTTTCTAAGTTTGTATTTTATTGCTAACAGTTCAATCCTATGTATGTCCACAGACAGCTTACCAGGTCATGTGGCCAGTATGACTAAACCACTTCTGGCACAACAGACCACCGTGACAGAAACCAGAGCACACGGAAACACTGTTTACCTTCCCGCCACAGCGGTACCTATTTATCTACTTGCACTGGCATGCTTTTGAACTGCTAGGTTGGCAGAAGCTGGGACAGAGCAACGGGAGCTCACCCCATCGGGCGGATTCAAACTTCCAACCTTCTGATCAGCAAGCCCAAGAGGCTCAGTGGTTTAGACCACAATGCCACCCACATCCCCCTCAGCCTGAAAGCGAGATGAGCACTGCACCCCATAGTTGCCTTTGACTGGACTTAAGCATCCAGGGGTCTTTTATCTTCTTCTTTTTTACCTATGTATATCTACTTAAAACTAAGCCCTATTGAGTTCCATGTGCACCCCTAAATTTGTTCTAGGGGTCCCCCAACCCTCCCAAGCAAGTCTGGAGGGAGTGCAGGTCACATGCAGGGGAAGGATAGGGGTACATGAAGTTCTGTTGTGCAAGCATAAGTATTTGCGCTGAGAAGACACATTAGTTGGATGCCACCCCATGATCCTTATTCCCAGGGAAGTGTGTACAAGTTTGTGACCTTTGAAAAGCTTTCATCATGTTAAGTCGGGAAGCCAAATGTTTGAAATAGTAACATAATGCATTCACACACACATGAATTGTAAATGCACAGAAAGCTTGTGCAGAATCCTGTTTCCTATAGTTCAGGAACATTTTTTTTCAAGTTTAAATGTTGAGTGTGTATAAATAAGAGAGAATCAGCAATATGCAGCATTTATGCTGCTTTCTGACTTTAGCTTTGGGGGGGAGGGGGATAGAATGGCTTACTGTCAACATTTTCTGCCCCCCCCCTTGCTACTCTTGACAGAGAGATTGCTAATAGCAGCAGAACCTCAAAATCGGGCTGCGACTCAGGAGGCATACTATTTAAGCAATAACACACAACAGGCAGAGCTTTTCTGGGGGATTATTGTGAACTGCAGGTGTGTTGTGAAATGTGAGGCTAAAGGACAAGTGATTCCAGCTACCTGCAATCTCTGGTAATTCCTTCAGGGGTCCTCTATGAGAAATATCTTTTGCCTATTATTAGAACTGGTTTCCTTTTCCTCGGCTGCGATATACCCATGTATTTTCCATGAGGTGTTGCCAGGAGAACTCCATGATGTGGGAAGCAGGTGGAGGGGAAGAGCTTAACCCATTTCTTTTAAGCTAGCTAATAGGCACTTCAAAATATTTAAGAGAACCTCCAAGACGGATATAAAAAGCAATGGGGAAATTGGGCAACCTTGCCGTGTTCCTTTCTCTATCTTAAATTCTTCTGTCACTACATTATTTACAATTAATTTAGCCTTTTGTTCTGAGTAAATTGCACCTATACCATTTCCAAAACCTTGGCCAACCCCCATCCCCTGTAAATTCTTCATCATAAAACTCCAGGAAATATTGTCAAAGGCTTCTCCGCGTCCACAAATATCAAAACTGCTTTAGTGTTAATATTCACTTGTAGTTTTTCTAAAATATTAATTATATTCCTCGTATTGTCAGACAAGTGTCTGCCCGGGAGAAAGCCCGCTTGATTCTTATGAATTTCTTCTACTAGTACCTTTTTTAATCTTTTAGCCAAAATGTCTGCAAAAATTGTATAATCCACATTAAGCAAAGATATGGGGCGGTAATTCTTGAGCTGTGTCTTTTCGGACTCTGTTTTCGGTATAAGTGTGATGTATGCTTCCTTCCACGACTCTGGTGCCCTTTTCCCTTCCAATA